AAGGATTCTGTGCAAAGGAGAAGGGATAGAAAAAAAAACCCGAAAGAACAAAAAAGATGACCTTTTCTGCAAATGCAGGAAAAGTAAAAAATTGCATTCATATCTCACACCAGTACTGGCGATATGTGTAGGCCACATGCATTAGTCCCACCATAATTATCTATATGCAAAAATAATAATAAGTAGAATGAATTTAATAGATTATGATAAATAATAAAATCATGCGCATTAATGCTTCCAAAATATTATAGAATATTTTTAAATTTAAGAAGCATAGAAATGGTCTATTTTCTCAGTGGTTTTTAACCAGTCACAGAAAAATATGAAACCGGTCTTTATCCTGTCAACCAATCGTACGCTTCAGAGATTCGAGTTAATGAATTACAAAGTTGACGTTCAGATCGTGCACTGGAAACGATGAATTGGGGTGTTATTATAGTGGTAGCTGGATTTGTTATTCACTTGAACCTGGTTGGGTTGCTTTACAGTTATAATCTACTACATATTCAACTAAAGGACAGCTTTAATTCCACGGCTACCGAAGCAGGTATGTATTAGGTATTTTATGAACGAACTTGCATTACACCTGAACCACAAGGGATATTTGCGAATCAGTATTTCAAAATCCTGAATATATAGCTCGGCACAACTAGCAACCAAAAAAATACGCTCCTATAAGATCTGAAAGGAGATTTGATCGCAAGAGTTCTCCAAAACGACGGAAAAGAAACAACTGAAATTGTCTCTTTTCACATTTAGCTTGGAGACGGACGTCCAAAATATTTATTCAAGATTGTGGATTGCTTAGTTAGTTTTGTTAAACATAGCAGTGTCCGTAAGCGCAGGCTAGTATAGGGAGTAGAAGCAATAATGGTGTTGGTATTTGATGTAGTAGTAGTAGTAGTAGTAGTGGTAGTGGTAGTGGTAGTGGTAGTGGTAGTGGTAGTGGTAGTGGTAGTGGCAGTACAAATCCGGATAAATTTGTCAATTATTATAGAAAATATTTTAATAGATTAGTCATATCAGTCGTAAACACTGGCAAACCATTCAACAAGTACGGTAGTAAATAATAGACATAGTCAGTGATAACTCATCAGGATAAATTAAAATGTGATCACTGTTATATTTTGCATAAGCAAGAAAATTGAACAACTAGAATATAATATTATAGCTGAGGTGGATGTGGACTTTCCTGGTATTTCACATTGTCTCATATTGTCGTTAGAAAAGATATTTGATGTATTCAAACATGAAAGTCAGCAATATTGTCAAATTAAGACACTTAAAAAATACGAAAAGAGTACTGTTTCCAAGTTCAGCTTTAACCGCGTGGGGCGAGTCAAGTCAACTATTTCTGCACTGCTGATGTTGCTATGGCTAACAGCTATTATTAACACTTACAACTGATTTTACATGGTACTTCTAATATATAACAATGCTTGCGGTACACCACGTAGAATGCTCTAAAAGGAACTGTTGTTGTTGTTGGTTGAGAATATCTCGAAGTTTCGAGTCGCAAGTCTCACTACATTTATAAGTTATCACTGTTTTGGGAATTTCTGCAGATATTATTCTTCTGAAGACGATTACAGCAGCTCAATCGAAACGTCAAGATATTTTCAACCAACAACAACAGTTCTTTACAGAACTGCCTACGTCGTGTACCGCAAGCATTAATATTATTACTTATTACACCATGTAAACCTTCAAACAATAATATGGTACTTCTAGTGAACCAACTGCAATCCTTTGCGTGAAAGTTGTGACAATGACCTTTGATTAAAACACTTGAACGTATGTACGCATACTCTATATCATAATTTAAATAAACAGATAAAATGAACTCACAAAATATTAAATTGAAATTGACAGGTTGTGTCACTGTCAAATAGTGTCCCCCTCAGAACATAAAAGTTGCGGTAGTATATTCCAAAAATGACTATAAGAGTGCTGATATGTTCTAAACATTATCACAAAATTCATATTGTGATTGGTTAATCTAGATGTACATTTAATTGTATACAATGGCTCGTGTGCACTATAAAGAACCCAGTACATCCTTCGAGACGAGTAGGGGGTTACCCCGGTGTACTGGAACAGACAGCCCCTGTGGTGGACGACGAGAGTTGCTGGTACCGGTTTACTGGGTAGCACAGACACGAAGGCACCCTTAGGGGCGAAGAAAGTCATTGGTCGAGTTCCTAGTCCACATTTCAAGCGCCCTGAGCATCTTACTAACTTCACTGGGAATCCTAAAACAGAATGGTCTTTAATGTGTTCATTTTTCCTGATACATATTTGATATAAAATATTTGGCTTACAGTGATTCGCTCCTTTTACTCTCTAAATTGTATGTTGGGAACTTCTCTTTCTTCTTTCAAACAACTTCCTCTCTCATTCACTTCCCTTCGAGATTCCCTCCTTACTAACAAGGCAGTGAATACCTTAAAAAACATAGGTTTATCCATTGACGTTTGAATGAAAATCATATTGATTGTTATAAAAATAATTTTCCAATGTTTAGCTTTTCAAACCAGCCTCAGCTATGCTAAATTACTGTAAAATGCATGCATAATTTTTTCCCTCGACTTATTTCATTACACATTACGCAACGTAGACGAACTGAAATTGCACTGACCTTTGCAGGGTCGGGTTTTTTTAGCATAATGGTAAAAACTATCAGTATCACCCTATCAATTACAACTGCAGCCATAGTTCGAGTCTCATTGAAGTCGAGTTAATTTTTACGGTGTTCGTTACTTCATAATTTTCATTATTATGATTTTATTTCTGTATTTCATGAAGGCCTTTTCTTTTTGTTTCATGTATTTTATTTTATTCAGTTCTAATTATTTATTTTTATTTTTTTTTTTTTTTTTATTTTTTTTTTTTTTTTGTAATTTCAACATCATTTCGCATAATGGCAAGGATGAAAATACATAATGTTCTATTTTACAAAAATACAGTAATTAGTAAGTCTAATTATAATTATAATTATTATATTACACATCCTACGTGTGTCATTACATATCTGCAAAATGTCAACTTGGATTGTATACGTGATCTAATAATACATTTTTAAAGGTCCGTATATTCCATGTGTTTGTAATGCACTTAAACTACTATTAGTGCAAGATTGGATATGTTAACATTATCACCTGAATCAACATGGACTTATAAATTTAATAAACGTACTGCTTTCTGAAATGACAAAGTTGGTAAACAGAATGATTTAGTGGTAAAATTGTTTTTAATAGAAACCAGACGGATGAACCCAGCTGAACATTTAACGTTACATTAACGTGAATATGAACGACTGTTTAGTGTTCAAAACTAAATGCGAGGTTTTTTTCAACGTAATTTTTCAACTAAATTTTCTGACATAACATTAACGCTTTTTGTTTACTAGGAAAATGTAGTGTAAATACATGAGGATAAGACTAGAACATAACTTGTGTCACAGTTGAAAAATGCACCAAACTTGTTACATGAAATATACTTTTTTTTCAGTAGGCCGTATAGAAAAACTTTTATTAAACTTTTCATTCACAGGGCTGCCAGGCTCGATATCAATAGCGATCTATGCCGCATCATCACTGCCTGTAACGTGGGTTTTCCAGCGAATTGGTAACAGGCCAGCGGGATTACTAGGCATCCTAATATGTTGTTTCAGTTTACTTTCATCCTCGTTTATCCACCGCATATGGCTGCTTTACTTGACGTATGGGGTGCTATATGGTCTAGGATGCAACGCTATTCATCTTGTGACCATCGATTTGATAATGGTCTATTTCAAAGACGGTCATTCCGCAAGGAGCATTGGTATAATATTGACTGGTTCCAGCGTAGGTATGTAAATCTTCGCATCTGAAAATCTCTAAATGCATTTTTATTGTATTGTATACTGTCAATCTACGTGTTAACTCAATTCATTTATTTTTTTTACATATTTTTGTCACGTTAAAATAATGAGGATGTACAGCAATACACTTTAATGTACACTGAATTGAGGAAAGAGTATCTTTGGGAGACGATTCCCTACTCTTTTTTGAAGAATGTACTGTGTTCTTAAACGTGCACATGGGCTAACTGCACACGGGACCAACGGCTTAAACATCCCATCCGACGGTGTGCTATCGTACGCATGTAATTTAACCCTCTAGCTAAAACACATTGAGAGCAACGATAGGAATTGAACCGGGAACCTAGACATCTCCACTGTTCAGCGTACACACATTGGCTACCACCTGGTTAGTCTACTGAGCTAAGCTGTTCTCTTCGAAAGAACGCAATATAAGCAAAAATCAGGGTTTCGAGATATTGGCTACACGCGTTTCTTGTGCAGCCTCTTGTTATGGAAAAAATATATTGATTTGAGTGTGTGTATTAATTTAAAACTACACAACAGAAAAATATAGTACTGTAAAGGATTTTATGGTATGTTTTTGTAACCCAGTCAAAATGGACATAATGCGCTTTTGCAAATCTAACCAAAATCCAATAAGGACAATTATGAAGTCATTTATTATTATTATTATTATTATTATTATTCATGGTATATTTTATTCAAAACGATACAAAAAGGAGAAAGCAATTGACAAAAAGTGAATTGTAGCCAAGGCTAAATTGCTCACAATTTACAATCAATTAAAAATTAAGAAAAAGCATTAAAAATTCACAAACATTTAAAGATTTTGAAGAGAATATAAAAATATAGCATAATTAATCGTGTCAAATGCTCTAAAAATTAAATTAATTGGGTCCTATGGAGGCCCTTCTCTCCCATACTGGATTGGTTACCGTACCTTATGAATTGTCCTCCAACCCCACTCATTTTCCGAAACCGGTTAAGGGAACGAAGTCTATAGTTTAAGCGGTTTTGTTTGGAAGCATACAATTATCAACTACGTGAAGTTTTATACAGTACTAAATAAAATATGACACACCCTTTCATTTTTTCCTTATACCTATTATGTCTTTTTTGCTGACTGATATAGGGGTCCTATTATCGCCGTGTCTTGAATGGCTTTATACTACATACAACTGGCGTGTCACATTGAGGATTCTCAGCACCTTATTTGCCGTAATATGCATACCTTGTATAGCAGTATTCAGGGACATACGCAAAAAGCACTCTAAACTGAGTTCCACCACCTCGAAGGAAAAGCTACCAGAAGAGCTTCCGAGAAAGGATTCGTTACTTCAGAAGTATTTCCATTTATTGAGGAGATCTGACTTTCACTGTATGATGTCGGCATATGCAATGACGGGAATTGCAACTACATTTTCCTACATAAGCATCGTAAGAGGTTTTATTTATTTTTTTAATTCTCAATACCTAATAAGAATCTAAGACGCTATAAGTTAAGTTGACGTGTTTAGAATTGAATGTGCTTAGGTATTTGACATCATGATGTTAGATACGTACCTAAGCACATATAATTCTAAACACGTCAGAAACCTAAACACATTAGGCCGAGTCTAAACACGATTAGACAGGAAAACAGTGCGTTTAAATCCTCAACGCTGTTACAGTGTATGGGTAACAACATCATCTAAAATCAATAGATGTCAGTCATGATTGGTGACCCTCCTGTCTTCATTCAAATGACTGTTGTTGTAGTTGTGGATACGAGTGACATTTAAAGAGAAACATTCCAGACCAGATATCTAAAAAAACTGATCAACTGATATGAATGAAACTGTCAGCAAGTTAACTAAGTTACAAGAAAGAAATTATTATATTTTGGTGACGATTAATATTTAGGTGTCGATTTTAAATAAATTTCTCAAAAACTCATCAATGGATATGAATAAACGTTTTTGGAATGATTTGTTATGGTCCAAGGAAGAAATAATTACATTATTGAAAGGGAACTTTGCAGACCTACTGTAGGTATCTAAAAATCGATAAATGCATCTGAAAACCATTCTAGATTACTTCGTCATGGCCAAGAAAAAGAATACAGTATGCAATTTTGGAGACCCTTAAAATGGAACGTCATAAACCTAAATATCTTTTATGATTGAAGGCTCTCGATGGCTACCGGATGGGGATCGCACATAAATAAAAACATATTAGTTGTCTAGTTGATCATGATGTTCGCTTTTTAAACGACAGGTCTCCTGCTTGAATCCCGCTATTGTGAGTTATCAATGGGGATAATTTATGTCCATTGGGGTTTCAGGTCTAAAACAAAGGCTCCTTGAGTTTGCCTCTTTTTAACTGTTTTGCTTCTGTGTGTGATTTCAATGCTATAATAAAAACAAATATGAATGTAGTTATTTCATACTTTATTACCTACAATGCATATTTATATTTTTATTTCTATTTTAGGGTAGTTATTTGCAAAGTTCTGGAATGGCCGGCTCAGCAATATCACTTACGTTTAGCTTGATGGCTGTCGGAGATTTGGTTGCTAGAATTGTATTATCAATCATCTCTGATTGGCTGCCAATGTCTCTTACGTCACAGTACGCCATCATGCACATCATGTCAGCCTTGTCCACCGTATTTTTGCCGTATATATTCAATTTAACATTTGTCAAGATCCTACTGATTGGTAATGTATATTTAATATCAATATCAATATAAATTTAGTCATCCCACATGGGGCAATTATAGAAAAACAGGACTGAATCATATAAAAATTAATAATAAAAAATATACATACAAACACACAGTTTACATACAAAAGTATTAAAAGCCTAGAGAGTAATACCTGTCTCTTATACACATCTAGATGTGTATAAGAGACAGCTATTAGACAGGAAAACAGTGCGTTTAAATCCTCAACGTTGTTACAGTGTATGGGTAACAACATCATCTAAAATCACTAAATGTCAGTCATGATTGGTGACCCTCCTGTCTTCATTCAAATGGCTGTTGTTGTTGTTGTTGCTGATCTACCTCTGTAAGGAAGTTATAGTTTCATCAGATTTTCTTTGTGTGTTTGTGTGTTTGTTAGCAAGCTCCTGCCCACAGTTTTATGTTTATATGCGTCAGATTTTCACATATGATTTCTGATATTGAATGGAGAGAATGTATTTGAGGACCATTTAAAGAAAACACTCCACACGAGATATCTCAAAACCTGATCTACTGAAACTTTCCGGAATTGTTAACCAAGCTAAAAGGAAGTCATTATTACATTTTAGTGACGATCCATATAGAGGTGTAAATATGGGTATCATTTAAATGCTGACGTCCCGGTACAAATATCTGAATGAAACTTTTTGAAATGATTTATTATGTTCAAAGAAAGAAAGTATTACATTTTGGTGACGATCGGAAGTAGGGTGTGGATACGAGGGACATTTAAAGAGAAACATTCCAGACCAGATATCTAAAAAACTGATCAACTGAATGAATGGAACTGTCAGCAAGAGTTAACTAAGTTACAAGAAAGAAATTATTATATTTTGGTGACGATTAATATTTAGGTGTGGATTTTAAATAAATATCTCAAAAACTCATCAATGGATCTGAATGAACATTTTTGGAATGATTTGTTATGGTCCAAGGAAGAAATAATTACATTTGGTGAAAGGGAATTTTGCAGACCTACTGTAGGTATCTAAAAATCTATAAATGCATCTGAAAACCATTCTAGATTACTTTGTCATGGCCAAGAAAAAGAATACAGTATGCAATTTTGGAGACCCTTCAAATGGAACGTCATAAACCTAAATATCTTTTATGATTGAATGCTCTCGATGGCTACCGGATGGGGATCGCACATAATTAAAAACATATTAGTTGTCTAGCTGGTTATGATGTTCGCTTTTTAAACGACAGGTGTCCTGTTTGAATCCCGCTATATGTTTAATGGTGATAATTTATGTCCATTGGGGTTTCAGGTCTAAAGCAAAGGCGCCTTGAGTTTGCTTTTTTTAACTGTTTTGTTTCTGTGTGTGATTTCAATGCTATAATAAAAACAAATATGAATGTAGTTATTTCATACTTTATTACCTACAATGCATACTTATATTTCTATTTCTATTTTAGGGTAGTTATTTGCAAAGTTCGGGAATGGCCGGCTCAGCAATATCACTAACGTTTAGCTTGATGGCTGTCGGAGATTTGGTTGCTAGAATTGTATTATCAATCATCTCTGATTGGCTGCCAATGTCTCTTACGTCACAGTACGCCATCATGCACATCATGTCAGCCTTGTCCACAGTATTTTTGCCGTATATATTCAATTTAACATTTGTCAAGATCCTACTGATTGGTAATGTATATTTAATATCAATATCAATATAAATTTAGTCATCCCACATGGGGCAATTATAGAAAAACAGGACTGAATCATATGAATAATAATTAAAAAAAATATACATACAAACACACAGTTTACAATCAAAAGTATTAAAAGCCTAGAGAGTAATACTGTCTTAATTTATTATCATTTTATTGCAAAACATTAAAATTCTTTATCCTTAATACAGGTTGGAACAAACGCATTTAACTTTCTTTAAGTATGTATAATATTTGGCTTCCTTTTTAAATTAAAGCATCGGCATTTAATCCCCAGCTGAGGTTGTCTTCAAATATAGTACAATTGATACTTGCAGTAATTTACAATCTCAATTGGTTCTTTATTTAATGTATGCATGTAATTAAAGCTCATAATGTTTTCCAAAATTTTGAAAATTTCATACCCATTAAATACAATAACATTTAGCCAAAGAATGGCACTGTTTGCAAAGTTTATGAGTCTGAAATAAACAAAAACATAATAAACACACGGAACGTCATATTACTAGCCTATTAATATCATTAGGCATGCATATTCATTTTTTTTGCAGTATTCGGTATCTCACGTGGTGGGCTATTTGTGCTGTTGACATCTGCTCCTATTGAGATCGCGCCGAAAAATTTAGGGGTTGAAGGTGTTGGACTTGCGTACTTAATTTTTGGAACTTGTGCATTATCGACACCTTATATGACAGGTAAGCTGTATACATCATAATAGTCCTACTTAGGCCTATTGACAAAATATACCTATCAAACACCTATAGAAGGATAATATGCTTAGCCACACTTAACGTTCATAACAATCAAATTAGAAATAACAATGGATAGTAAATAAAGTCAGATTAGGATGACTTAAACTCACAATGAACAATCAGCTGGTGGTACTGCTAAGTCATAAATTTACGGAAATGGTTGCCACTATGCTCGAACAATAAGTTAATAAATATTTTATTACATTTTTATAATATATTTATTATCTTACAGACAAGTTATACGACATCACTGGATCATACGATAGTGCTTTCTTCATTTGTTCCGCATTGTACATATTCGCTGCAATCATTTTATTTCTTTCGGCTCACTTGAAATGGAAAAAAGAAAGAAATACATACATTGACAGCAACTCGGAGGTTACCGATAGAATGCTATTAAAACAGGAAGAAGTTACAAAAGTTACGGTTGTGTAATGGCTCATCGAGTGAGGGAAGGGAACACCTTTACAAAGTAAACACTTCTATGGTAGTCTATAACTAGATAATATTTTATAAATCATTTAAACTTGATAGAAACATGTGGATAAAAATATGTGTTAGGAATGATGTTTTGTTCTGTAACGTTTCCAAATACTAGCGAAAAAAAAGTCTCGCAAGTAATTCGGGTGGGAATCGAACCCACGACCCACAAATAACTAGTTGACCGAGCCTGTGCGCTTAGTGGCCAGTGTTGAATCTGATCCCGAAGTAGTAGGGGGTACAATACAATTCCGATGGCATCTGGGTCAGTAAATTTACTGGGAATGTTCAGATTCAGATTTGACGCAAACACCATAAAAAAAACCATATTGTATTGTATTGTAAAGTTATATTTATTACCATATTCCTGTTTGAATTCTAAACATTGACTGACCTAGACAGTGTGTCTTTCTTTTGTGCAATTTATTTAATAAAGAATGATAACTGTTGAAAAAAAAAATGTTTTTTGTCAAAATGCTGGCTTTCCACTATTTGTATATTGTGCACATAAGGTCTTAATGATTTTTTAATTATTAATTTATTAGACCACTCGTTGGAGCGAGTGGTTGTGTAATTTTCACAATTTCAGCGACGCTCATTTCACAAGTACAAACAATGACTGGACCATGTCCCAAAGAGATAAAATAACAGATATTGTAGTTTTAGGTCCATCACCAATGTCAAAATACCAGGGTTTTCCAAAAGGGGTCTGATGTCCCTACGGGGGACCACGCGACGATCTCATAAGTGGAGGTTGTTGGGCGTCGCTAAAAAATTATCGAAGTGATCCAGGAGGCGAAGCCACATAGGCATATTAAATTGAACCACCAAGTGTTTTTAGAACAAAAACAATGAGTTTATAAAACAATGAGTTTATAAAACAACTACAAAATAAATAACAATTGGTTTCAAGCTTATACAGTTACACAAACGAAACAAACCCAACACAGTTACGTACGACTGAATCAGCATTTGCAAATTACGTGGCAATAATTGTTCTCTACATGGACCCTTCCCCACGTTATGATGAAGAACACACAAAGTAAAAGAAAAAATGAACATTTACTGCAGAAAAAGCTAGCAGAAACTTATACAGGGAGTCTGCTGTGTTAACTGGATTTTCCTAGCAGTACCTGGGAAAAGCTATTTTTTTTTTTTTTTTTTTTTTGCTGGTTTGTTTTTCCTTCTTTGTTTTTCCATGTCGTTTTCTCTATCTTTCTGCTCTGGGTTATTCCGCCAGGCACTTTGGTCACTTTTCATGCTTCCATACTTTGTCGAAACATAGACCATAATATCAAGGATATGCCTCCTAATACTGTATTTAGTGTCAATCTCGAGTGGGGTGTGGATATAAGAACCAATTACCTGTAAAAGGATTTCGGGGCAAATTAAACTCTACACCAAATAGGCCTATTTCAAAAACGGTTCAATTACTGATCTGCATGAAACTTTCGGCACAGTTTTACCAAGTTACAAGGAAGAAATTATTTTGTGTTGGTAACAATAAAGTTAATGGGGTAAATTTGAGGGTTATCTAAATTTCTGACGTCCCAGACCTAAATATCTCAAAAACCTAATAAACGGGTTTACATGAAACATTCTATTGTCAAGATAATAAAGAAATGACTTTTTTTTTTTTTTTTTTTTTGCAATCCTGAGTAGGTGTAGATATGAAAACCATTCAAAGGAAAACGTCGTTCCAAATAGATTTTTTTTTTTTTAAATTGAAATTACGCAACTGTCTTCGATAAAGTCATTTACGTCTAGTCTCCAGAAATTGTCAAGGTCTAATAAAGATGTTATTATTTTTTCGTGACGATCCAGAGTAGGATGTGGATATTTGAGGACCATTCAAAGGAAAACGTCCCATACCAGATATTTAAAAAGTGGATTAACTAATTTCAATGGAACTTTCCAGAAAGTTACCTTTTCAATTTACAAAGAAGAATGTGTTGGTGATGATCCAATTTAGGGTGTAAATGTGAGGTTCATATTAATTATTGTGTCCCAGACCTAAATATCTCTAAATACTTTTCAATGGACTTAAATGAAACTTTCTCTATTAGTTTGTCAAGGTCTAATAAAGAAATGATTACATTTTTGTGACGATCCGGAGTTGGGTGTAAATGTGAGGATCATTCAAAGGAAAAAATAGATCAACTGAAACTTTCGGGGAATTTTAACCAAGTTACAAGAAAGAAATCATTATGTGTTGGTTACGATCCAATTTAGGGTGTGATTTTCAGGTTCATTTAAAGGGCTAACGTCCCACCTAGTTATAATTGGACCTAAATTGAACTTTCCAGAATAGTTTTTCATAGTCCAATGAAGAAATGTAAATTTTGGGAGGGTGTGGATATGAGGACCATTAAAGATTTTCTTTTTTGGACAGTTGATTAAATCATGGAGGAATAATATATTCCTCCCTGATTAAATTATATAAACGCAATTCGCTTTTTATAAAGCGTTTAAACTAGTTGCAGCTACGTTAAACGCAAACTTACCGTCATAATTGTGCATGAATAATTTTTGCTTTCAATCACTAAATTTAAAATGCACTGACCTAGACATTGTCGGCTCATAGCGCATAGTGGTTATGAGTCTCCATTTCACTATTACCATTTCAGCTATAGTTCGAGTCTAACTATAACGTCGAGTTACTTTCCTTGTTTTTATTTTACTTGATTTTCTTTTTTTTAATAGCTGTTGTTTTTGTTCTAATTTATTTTTCTGCTTCAATCCTGTTTTTGGCACAGAGATTTTCTGACCGGCAATTTGGTCACTTTCCGTACTTGAATCTTCTTCAGACATTGTTTAAGCAAGGCCACATCAACGATGTGGATATGCAATTATGATATCATTCTAAATATTTTGAATAGTAATACCAGTCATAGTTCGAGTTTTCCTGACGTCGAGTTGCTTTTCATTTTAATTTCATAGTTTTCTTATAATTTGCTGTATGATTCCATTTTGTGTCATATTTTCTATAAGAAAGTAAAAATTCAACGGAAGTAATTATTATAGATGGAATTGTAGAGAAGGATGCGTTTGTACATAAGCAAATGCTATCTTTCATATCTAAAATTCTAAATATAAATAAACGACCGATTTAGTGGAGTTTTAAAATTAAATGTGCCAAGTCTGTTCAGAATTAACATGAGTTACTAATTCAGGATTATCCAATATTGACCACTTTGCTAGGGAGTCAAGCAGACCAAAAATAAATTGAAGTGTTGGAGAATTCAGTTATCTGATAATTTGTCATATGAGCAAATATGATGAAGAAACCAACATAGTAAGTAAAGTTAACTCCTTCTATGAAATCATATTAGTTACAATTTTGCAGCAATACCCGTCTTGACAGTGGCGTCGTGTCGGACAAAAAGGAGATGGAATAGCCCTCGGCGCAGTCGGTCTTGGCTTAAAGTGCACTTAATGAAAAATTGTTGTTCTTTTTTTTTTAATTTGCTTTTTTATCTGCGAGCATTATTTACTATAATTTGCGGAGGGAGCAGACAAATAAAAATACAAAAACAAAAAAACAAACAAACAAAACAAAAGTCGGAGTAAATACATGTTTGACCACTTTTGCCTTTCATACACTTTCTCACACATCACGACACGAGCATCCACATGGTTGTCACTGCCAATTAAAATCTGTTGTACGGTCTTGTAGGTAGCCTAGTACTAAAATAAACATGGCAAAGACCACATTACAGAAGAAAAATATTAATCGAATAAAGAAGTCAAATAGCAGTACAAATCCCGGTGAGTTGTCATTAATTATTTGTTTAAATATACACTATGTAGGGCCTACTATGCTAGGCCTAGGATTGGCTTCCGTCCACTGTGAGAACAGCATCAAGCCAGGCCTACCCTAATAGAACGTTCCCTCACGGTTGCAGCCAATGAAAAATATCCCAATTCTATTGGCCTAGGACTAAGCCTAGACCAGGGCCTAGCAGTGTAGGCTAGGACCGTTTCAGCCGCATGTATGAAACACATTTTTTATTGTATTTTTTTAAGTAAATTCGAAAAATTAAATGACTAAATGAATAGCCTACTGTAGGCCTAGGCCTAGCCTACTATTGACAAAATTTAAAAGTAATAGAATAAAGTATATATTATGCTGGGGCCAGCAAATATGCCAACATCGATGTAATGCCGGTATATTTCTCTGATTGTAAATTATGACTTAATCAAACCAAGACCGCCGTAAATGAAGAATCGGTAAATAAACACAAAAAGCCAAACACCATGGCTGATGAATGTCTACAGATTTGGTGATAGTTTTTTTTTTTTTTTGGATGTCGAAACAAAAAACAAAAGAATTTGAAGAAAACTGATGCATTAAATTGTCTCTGTGACTCCCTACAGACCATCGCCGCAGCTCAAAAAAGGGGGCTGAGAAAGAGATATAGGTGAAGACATTGGCGAACAGAGCAACCTAGGCTAGTGATAATGGGAGATTCATTCCAAGGGATTAGTGTACAGTAGGGCGGCGGCGGATAA